GTGGGGAGCTGGCATCTGGGTTTTTACTGGTCTTCCTGTGGGTTGTGCCTGTGGCCAGTGACTGTCCCGCTGAGCGGTGGGCCTTCGTGTCCTCACTTCCATCCCATGGGCCTGGGACTTGCCACTCTGTCCACTGTGACACGGGCTGGCTGCTCCGTCGGCTGTGCCACGAGCACTCCTGAGCTTGGCTCATGGATCCCGCGTCTCAAGCCACATGCCACACGGGGGGTGTCGCCGGCTGTGTCTGCAGCCTCCTGGGCCCCCGCGGTCTGGGCCATTCCTCGCTGTGGGCGCCATTGGCCAGAGAAGTCTGGGAGTTGACATTGATCATGTTTTGTTCCAGAAACCTTCTAAGCATAAGAAGAAGAAGCACAAGAAGGAGAAGGAGGAGAGATCAAAAGACAAGAAGAAACCCAAGAAGAAAAAGCCTGCCAGCGACGGGGCGGCAGAGCCCGTGGAGAATGGCGCTCTCGACGAGGACCCTCTCCCGGTGAGGGGTGCTGCGCTCGCCTCCCATGGGCCCGGGGCGCCCCCGCAGCCGGGCTGAGGATAGGAGCCGCGGGCAGCAGGGCCTCGGTGGGCGCGGGTGGGTGAGCCCCGGGGGCTCTGGGCGTCAGGGAGGCAGTGCTATCATGTGGCAGGAGTCGCTGAGGTGCGGGCACGTGTTGTCCAGGCCCTGGGGTCAGGGGTTTCCTTGCCCCCTCCCCCCGCCCCGTTCTCACGGTCCCAGCATTTCCCATGTGGAGCCCTTGGCGCGGGTCATGGCAGGCCCCGTTCTGTGGGCGGCTGCCACCTGCGAGTTCTGTCTGGCCAAAGCTGTGTTTTCTTTTGTTTCCAGCCCATGTCCAGCTACTGCCTCCTGGCTGAAAATGCCTACGTCAAAATGGTGAGCAGTGTGGGTAACTCAGAGCACCGGGGCCGGGGGCACACTGGGGTCCTTTCTCTGGGTGTGTGGAGGAGGCAGTGGGGTCTTGGGGATAGCGGGGGCTTCAAGTGTCTCTGTCCCAGGGCTCCTGCTCCTAGAGCCTCCTGCACTAGCGCCTTTCCGGTGGGGGGAGGTGCACGGGGTACTTTTGGTGGGTGGGCCCGAGGGCCGGTGTGATGGGCAGCGGCCGGCAGAGGAAGGGGGAGAGCGGCTTGAACCGCAGGCCGTGCCAGAGCCCTGTTTCTTGTTTGGGTTTTGGGGAGTTTTGCTTCTCGGAGGTGATCCGCATTTGCCCAGCAAGCGTGGCTGGCACTCCTCAGGCCCCTCATGCAGGCCCGGTAGGGGGCCTGGGGGGCACAGGCTGACCCCGACCTTGCCTCGCAGACATACGACATCCAGGGCAGCCTGCAGAAGGACAGCCAGGTCACTGTGTCCGTCGTCCTGGAGAATCAGAGCAGCAGCTTCCTGAAGAACATGGAGCTCAGCGTGCTGGACTCGCTCAACACCAAACTGGCCCGGCCCGAGGGCTCCTCCGTCCACGATGGGGTCCCTGTGCCTTTCCAGTTGCCCCCAGGTGTGTGGGCCGCCGGCAGGACACTGGGGCTGGGGGGAGGCCGGGGGCTCCTGCTGGCAAGACTCATCCACTTGGTCCTGGGGACCCCCCACCCTTGTCACCTGCTGTCCCTCGGGGGCTGAGCCCAGTTTTCTGACCAGGGTGGGCAGCGCCAAGAACAGGCCCTGGGTGGGGTCACATCCCTGCCACCTGCCAGGGTGCGGGACGGCAGCCGGACGCCGCCCCACGCCACTCTCGGGCCCACGCCTTCCCCCTCCCCAGGCGTCTCCAACGAGGCCCAGTTTGTGTTCACCGTCCGAAGCATCGTCACGGCCCAGAAGCTCAAGGGGACCTTGTCCTTCATTGCCAAGGTAGCAGGGCTCGAGGCGGTGTCGGGAGCCCGTGGGACGGTGCCCCGCACCCTGCTCATTCTGTGCGCCTGCTCCCGCAGAACGATGAGGGCTCGACCCACGAGAAGCTGGACTTCCAGCTGCATTTCAGCTGCACCTCGTACTTGGTCACAACGCCCTGCTACAGGTGCGCCCCTCCCCACAAAGGAAGGGACCACCGGAGGGGGCTGGGCAGCCTGCCTGTCATCAGCCTGTCTTGTGTCCTTCCCACAGTGATGCCTTTGCCAAGTTGTTGGAGTCTGGGGACCTGAGCATGAGCTCAGTCAAAGTTGATGGCATTAGTATGTCCTTCCAGAATCTTCTGGCAAAAATCTGTTTTCATCACCATTTTTCTGGTAAGAGATGGGACGAGGCTTCTGAGGCTGGGGTGGCGGTGCCTCTGCTCCCTGCGGGCCGGCTCCGGCCTCACCCCGCACCCCCTGTTGCAGTGGTAGAGAGAGTGGACTCCTGCGCCTCCATGTACAGCCGCTCCATCCAGGGCCACCACGTCTGCCTCCTGGTGAAGAAGGTGAGCCCCGGCCTGTGCAGAGGCGGGACCCTCATTTGGGTTCTCAGAACACTGAGCGAGGCGCTGTGAAAAAGCTAAAGGACGAACATACCGTTGGGTTTTTCATGCCGTATTTCAAAATTCTGTGGTGGTTTTCCCATTTGCAGGGGGAGAAGTCCGTTTCCGTCGACGGGAAGTGCAGCGACGCGGCGTTGCTGGGCAGCTTGCTGGAGGAGATGAAGGCCACACTGGCCCAGTGCTGAGCCGCCGAGGCCTCGCCCTCGCTGGGACGGGGCGCTCCTGTTGGCCGGGCGAAGTGATGCGTCGCGTTGATGTATCCTGTCGGCGTTTTTACTTTGACTCTTTGCACTCTTTGGGGGAAGCGCTGAGGCACCCCCCTCGGGCAGGGCCTGCGGTAGCGAGGCCACCCGGGTAGCGGATGGAACCGCCGTCCGGGCTGCAGGTACGCCATGGACGGCACCCAGTGGTATATCCTGCTCCCGGGAGGCCATCCGAGTCCCCCAGGTGCCCTGCCCGCGGGCACCTGCTCACTGCAGAGACACTCCTCACCCTCCCAGCCGTGGGTCAAGACACCTGCTGGCCAGAGGGTCGTGTAGGCTGCTGTCCGTCATGTTCTTTGCGTCCCACCACGTGTTCGTGTGTCGGACCGGGGGGCTGCCACCCACGGTGGGGGTCCGGTCGGAAATCCCAGTGGCGCAGGACCCAGACCCTGCTGGTTCACGGTGTCCCCTGTACTGAGCTGTGTGTCCGTCGGCAGTGTTTGGTGAGTGGTGGGGCCGTTGGGGATTCCAGGTCCTTCCCGTCGCTGAACGCTCCGCTGCCAGGAAGGCGGACTCCTGGGGTGGCCCGGCCCCGGACCGTAGCCCACGGAGCGAGGCACGGAGACCCCCACCTGTGAGGCACGCTGCCTCGGGGCGGGGTGGGAGGGTGGACGGTCCTCGCTGACGTAGCTTCCTCCTGATGCCCACGGTCACTTTAGCATGTAGAGTAACCTCTTCCGGAATCTTGTGCCGTGGCGCTAGAACGTCAGCACTGTGTGACGTGTCATGTAAGGATCGATTTGCCGTCGACATTCCCAGGTAGAGGAGAGAGACGTATCACGCTGCTGTAATGATTTTGTGTCAAGATGATCCAATAAACTTGTGAAACAGACGCTTATCTGTTGGATGTCCTGCCCGTGTCCGCGCGTGCCTGGTGGTCTCAAGGGGACCGCCTCACACCCAGGGGCTCTGGACAGTCCTCGAGCTGACGGGGGTCCGTCCTGCCCATGCGCCCGTCCCCTCATGGTGGAGGTCGTGTCATCGCCGTACACCCCAAGCTTGGGCGGTGTGGCAAGGAGCCGCCTGACCCGTGGGCTCCAGGAGCCCCACCGGCGATGCCTGGTGGACGTGCCCGCCCTTTGGGGCACCTCGCTAGCGAGCGGCGCGTGGGTAAGCGGCAGTACAGCTGCTGTGAGGCAGGTCCCACCCGTGTTGGTCTGACCTGCCGCATGCCCGCTGGCCTTACACCGCACAGACAGGGTCAGTTCAAGACCAGTAAGGCGGGGTCAGTGGACAGGAAGCCAGATAAGCTCGAGCTTGAAATCGCGGGCGGGAGAGCACGGAGCCTAAGCACAGATGGGCAGACCCACCGGCCACCAGTGTCCCCGCTTGATAGTATGTCCAGAAGCACCAGCCACGAGGCGTTCTCACTCTTCTCAGTGGACAAAGTCACGTGTCCTGTACCATGCCAGACCCCTTGCCGGCCCCTCACCTTCCTTGCTGCTGCCTGGGAAGCACCGAGGCGACAGACCCCACGTTGACGCAGCGAGGGTGGTTCTGGCCCGGCCACCAGCCCGCACCCCCCACTCCCATCCCCTGGGTGGGTGCTCACCGTGAGACTGCCGCTCTCCACAGCCCACCAGCATGTCGCTCCCCACGTGCCCCATGCGCTTGTCCTGACGCGGATGGACCGCTGCCAGCAGCACTTCCAGGCACAAGGCCACCTCCAGGCAGGACTCTGGTCCCCGGGTCCCTTGCTTGCCCGCCCTGCAGATCAAGTGCTTGGGGCCCCTCGTAAGCCCCGTGGAGGGTTTGCAGAAGGAAGAGACGCAGCAGGACTGTTCTGTGCTCCTGTGACTCAGGTTTGGCCCAACGTGGCGTGAGCCCTGAGAGGCGCCCGAGCTGGCCACAGTTTTCACCAAACCGTGGTCTCTGAGTCCTCAGGGCATCTGCCCCACAAGCTTGTTTCCATCCCAGCCAACCCAGTGGCGTTCAGACAGATTGCACTGGAACGGGCGTGGACGCCCCTCTGCCCACAGTCCTGTCCCCGTGCTCGAGACCAGGATGGGTTGACCCCTGTTGCCCTGAGAAAGACTGCTCCGTGATGAGAAATGTCAGGGACGTTTAATCATTGCATCTAATAGCTCAGGGACCTTGCCCGACAAAGCCACACACCCCTCCCGGGGGCCCCAGGCTCGGACGGGAGAGGAGGAAGACGGCAGCAGCCTGCTCCAGGGGGTCAAGCTGGGACAGTCCAGCTGAGTCCTGGCTCCGCCTCCAGGCTGGGGCCGGTCTGGTGAACCCGGTGCTCGTCAGTGCTGTGTCAGGCACTCGGAAGCGTTTTCTAGAGTCAGGTTGGCCAGGTGTGGGGGCTCAAGACACGTGAAGCTCGGGGATATCAGACTGTTGGAGAGACATGAGTGCCCTCAGCCCTCCGTCCCTGTTCCACCTCCTCGCCCCTGCCAGGGTCTTTGCTGGGCCCCTGGGGCCTGTGACAGGGCGCAGACAAGACCTTCGAAGCTCAGTGTCATGCCCAGCACTCCCACAACGGGCCGCAAAAAAACGGGCGGGGGTGGGGCTTGGGCAAATTAGCCATTGGGTTTTGATCTCTGGCTTACGGAGCCCACCCACCCAGAGACCCCGGCCCAGGTCCTCACAGCCTGCCTCTGAGCCACTCACAAGGCCGGAGTGGTTCTGTGCGTCCAGGGGAGGAGGACAGCTGATGATTATTCATGAAGCGATCGCTTGGGTGTGGTTGCAGAGGTGACGTCTGGCTTGTCCCAGGTGCCAGGGATCCCCGCCAGCTGTGTCTGCCCTATCCAACCCCTCCCAGTCTGTCCCCACCTCCCTTTCAGAAGGCCTGGCCAGGGCTTTGGAGAGGACAGGGCGGGGATTGGGGGTGAGGGGTGGCTTACCTTGTGTTCGTGTCCTCTCTGAAAGACACGACAGAGTCTCTCTTAGCCCCAAGCTTTAGGGCTGGTGGCCCCCAGGTCCCTGCACTGGGGCAAATCCATTCTTGGGGGCCCTCCCCAGCTCTGACCACTGTCTGGCCCCGCTGGCGCCAGCCAAGCCCAGAGGTGCTCACGGAAGGAAGGGCTGGGGTCCGGAGCCCAGGGGCCAGGTGCCGCCTCCTGTGGCCGCCACAGCTCATACTCACCCACGAGGGCTTAAAGCACACTCCCTGCCTCTGATAAAACTCACGTACTTGTGCCACTTGTTTCTACAACGACAGCGAGGTTGGACTCGGGTTGGCAGGGCTGAGGTCGGGCTGCCCTCCCGGAGCCCAGCCGCCTCAACTCACATGTATAGGAGGAGGCCCTGCACGGCTGTTTCCCACTGCACCGACGACCTGCAGGCACACGGGGTGTGCAGATGGGGAGGCCCCGGGTCCGGAGCCCCGCCCTCCCCAGGCCAGGACCTCCCCTTGCCCTGCGGCTGCGCCCTACTCGCAGTTGTAGCCGAAGCAGATGACGTGCGAGTCGGTGCAGTTGGTGCAGGAGATGGTCTGGTACTGGAAGATGCCTGCAACACACAGGAGGCAGCCGCGGGCTCCCCGCCTCGGCCTCCGGGGAGCTTCCCCGCCGGGCCCCGCGGGCTGCACCGGGCCTCACTCACCACAGTGACGCTGACAGTCAATGCGGCCTGTGTGGGCACAAGAGCACCAACCTGCCTGTCCCCTGCCCCGCCCACCCTTCCTGCCCGCCCAAGGCTCCCCCAGGGTGGCGCTCAGCCTGGGGGCCCAAACGCTGGTGGAGGGCAGCATGCTTCCAGGGACCGGCAGGGGCAGGTGGCAGGGAAGGGCGGGCGGGGGTTACCCAGTGCCTCGGCCCAGTCGCTGGAAGGGGCCCTGCCTTGAGGAGCTGCCCTTCTGTCCCCTTGGTGTTCTGTGCGGAATGCACCCTGCCAGCCCCCCGCCTGACCTCCGGGGACTTCCGAGCCGCTCCCGGGGCCCTCCCCCACCCGCCCGGGCTCTCCATTTGCTCACTTTCGATGATGGCATTCTGGATGAGGTGCACCTGCTCCCGGAAGATGGCTCGCAGCTCATTGGGGAAATACCCTGATGGGGGTGGGCAAGAGAGAGGTGAGGCTCGGGCAGGGGGCGGAGGGGCCCGTGTCCGTTTCCCGCGCGTGGCGACTGCCCGCTCACCGGGGAAATACATCTTCCCCTGGTACAGCTGATCCATCTTCAGGTACACGGCGTTCGCCACCTGGTTCAGCTTCTCCCGGGCTGCGGGCGGGAGGGGGCGGCAGGTGAGCGGCCCGGGCCCGGTGTCCGGCAGCGCTGGGGGTCAGGTGGGGTCGGGGTCAGGCGGGGCCGGGGTCTGGTGGGGCCCGGGGTCTGGCGGGGCCGGGGACGCACCCAGGCGGGCGCCGCCTCCCCTGCGCTCACTCACTGATCTCCGCGGGGATGGCCAGGTGCAGCTCCTTCATCGTGTCCTGGCCCCAGTCGGTGAGCAGCGAGCCCGACACGGGGATGTCGCCCACCCACCAGGACTTGAGGTTCACGTGATGGCGGTAGAAGGAGAACTTTTCCGAGAAGTTGCTGTGGCAGTGCAGGCAGCCGCGGGCCAGCGCTGCAGACAGGCCCAGGCACAGTAGCAGGGCCATGGCCCGCCCCCGCCCGCAGCCCGCCAACCAACGGCGCCTCCCGCGCCACGCCCCCGGCGCCGGCCCAGCCCCGCAACGGACAACTGCCGGCCCCGCCTCCGGGCCCCGCCCAGATCGCCCCTCCGAGGGCGGGGGGGGGGGTCGGCCGCGCCCCACGCATGCGCCCAGGACACGCGCAAGCTCCTCCTTCCGGGCTGGTCCGGGCGGGAGGACCCGCTCCGCGCTCCCGGCGCCGCGCAAGCTCCGCCCACGCCCCGGCACCAGCCAATGCGGTCCCGGCCCGTTTCCGGTTGCCAGGCAACAGAGCGCGGCGGCGGGGAGCGCCCCCCTTGTTCTAGACCGCGCCCCCACTTCGGCTCCGCTTCCGGGGAGGCCCAGGCCGGTAGCGGAAGTACATCTGTCTGGGCGGGGTGGCGGCCGGGCGCTGCGCTCTGTGGCTCCGGGGCGGCGGAGGCGACGGGGCGGCGGACGCTGGACGTCGGACAGCCGCGAGCGCCGCCCGGCAGGTTGGACGTGAGCCTGCAGGTGGGTCCCCTGAGGGACGGACGCGGGCGGCGGGGAGGCCGGGTCCCTCGGGAGGGGCGGACGCGGGCGGCGGGGAGGCCGGATGGGGGCGGCGAACGCGGGCGGCGGGACGGGGGGATCCCTCCGGAGGGGAGGATGCCGGAGCGAGAGCGTCCTGACGCTTTGCTCTCCGGCTTTGCACTCGGTTCTGGGACAGGTGCCCCGCGGCTTTCCTCCTGCTCTACCGCAGGACAGTCTGGGCCCTTACTAGCCCCTGTTACAGGCTCAGCCCGGAGTGATAGGAAGGGCCACACCCCCGGCCCACGCTAGGGCAGCGCACTTCGGCCTCCCCTGAAATCCTCCGCCCAGGGTGTCCCCGGGTGTCTGTGGCCACCTGTTGGGTCCGTTCTCAGAAGCCACTGAACCGTCTACTGACCGTGGATGAGAACAGAGCAAGTGGACGTCCTGCCTGCCCCCCCACTCCCCCTGCAGGCACGCACCTCCCGCAACACCCTGCTCCGGGCCATGTGCCCACGTGGCTTCCCGTCTCCCTCACCCCTGCAGAGTCTCAGCAGAGGAGTGGGTGCCGCATACTCTCTGAGTCCCAGACACAGCATGTTTGCCAAAAAGAAAAAAGAAAAAACGATAAGATGACCGTAAGATTTGCTGCACCTGCTAGGTGTAGAAATGTATTCTGGCATTCCTGGGTAAAATATGATGCGTCATTAGTAGTGACTTCACTTTTCCACTTTTTAGCAAGGCTTCCGGACAGTGCGAGATTCTGCCGACAGCTCATGTCACGGTCCTAGCGTTCTCTGTGACGTTCCTTCCGCAAACGCCCATCCGCCTCCTGCTTCCACCAGACTCACTGCTCTCCGCGGCGGGCGTGAGTTCTTGAACGGGGCTAGCGGCTCAAGCTGGTAACCAGGTGCTGGGTGTGCGTGAGTGAGTGAGTGTTGGTTATAATTTTGTTTAAATCGGGCTTATTTTTTAAAGATTACTTATTTATTTATTTATTTGACGCAGAGAGAGAGAGATCACAAGCAGGCAGAGAGGCAGGCAGAGAGAGAGGGGGAAGCAGGCTCCCCGCTGAGCAGAGCGCCCAATGCGGGGCTCGATCCCAGTACCCTGAGACCATGACCTGAGCCGAAGGCAGAGGCTTCACCCACTGAGCCACCCAGGTACCCTAAATCGGGCTTATTTTTAAGAGCAGTTTCAGGTTCCGAGCCAGAGTAGAAGGTGGAGCTCCCCCAGGCTCCCTCTCCCCATAACTGCACAGCCTCCCCCATGACCAGCCTCCCCGCCAGAGCCCGATGTTTGCGACCGGTGGCGGACCACCACCGCGACATGATGAACACAGGCGGGAGGTGACAACGGGCCTCCCTGTCAGCGCCGCACACAGCCCGGCTGCTCTGGCTCCGGGACGCACCACTGAGCTTCCTCCGTTCTCTGCGGGGCTGCGGAGTTCTTGTCTGAACCTCCCTGAAGGCAGGGCACGTCCCCGTCTCCATCCGGGAGGCTGACGGCCCGGAGTCTGTGCACCAGGTGTCCCCAGTAACCCGGGAGGGAGTTCCGGGTGCGCCTCGCTCTCTCAGCAGGAGCAGCGGTGGTTCTTTGCCCTCCTGGGGGAGTTCTCAGAAATGCTAGTTCGGTTCCTGAGCTGTTTGCTAAACCCTTCCGCGGGCTTGTCCGTCTGCACGGGCGCTGCCAAGCCAGGAGCGCTCGGCGCCAAGTCCATGGCGAGCCGGGGCCCAGGAGCGGGTTTGCCTTGTCCAGCGCATGGCGAAATGGAGCTTGAACCCAGACTCCCCGAGCAGCTGGCTCAGACTTTGGGCTTTTCCTCAGGGAAGTTTCAGACGAGCCCCAGCGGGAGAGCCCCGTTCCTGATTTCCTAGAATTTCGAGATTCAGATAGCTTCAGCGGAAAGGGCAGACCCAGCGAGAGAGGCGAGGCAGCCCCCAGGCCACCAGGCCAACCAGCAGGCCTCGGGTTGGCTTTCATGCTCTGCTTTCTCTGCCCCAGGGGACTGGGGCCAAACAGCATTTCAGCATTTGCTTCCGGGTGGGGAAGGCGCAGGGGGAGGGGCAGGGGCCGAGCAGGCCCGTGTGTGCCCGGCGCCCCCTCCTGCCTGGGGCAGCACAGGTGGGAGGCTCAGGACACCTGGGCTCGCATCCAGGCCCCCCTTCTATTTGTGACTGTTCTGACTCTGACACCCTTCCTGCCTCTCCCAGCTTCTGGGTGTTCCAGGCAATCCTAGGTGTCCTAAGGCTTGTAGACCTGTGCCCCCTCTCTGCCGCCCTGGTCCCATGGCCCACTTCTCGTGTGCCTGCGTCCAGATTGCCGTGTTCTTCTAAAGACCCTTGTCATTGGGCTTGGGGCTCCCCTGCCCAGCGTGACCTCATCTTTATATCTGCAAAGACCTTATTTTGAGAAGATCCCATTCACAGGTGCCGGGCATGTTTTGGGGGACAGGACTCAACCCATAACGGACCGATGCAGAGTGACTGTGGCTGGGCACAGGGTTTCTTTTGAGGTGCTGAGAATGTTCTAGAATTGTGACGGTTGCACTCCTCTCTGTACTACAAACCACTGAATCGTATACTTTACAAGTTATTTGCGGCATATGAATTACATCACAGTGGACTATAAAAGGATTGTCGGGCGGACTGAGTACGCAGAACCCCGTGGTAGCACCTGGCCTGCTGTGGTCTCAGCAAACCACTTCCTGCCTTCCTACAAAACAAATTGGGGAACTTCACCCCAGAAGCAAAGACAGGAGGGCCAAATGCGGGTAGAATGCCACGCCCTGTGGGGATGGGGGGAGGGGCTGGAGCCACCGTCCTGGGGGTCCTGCAGGGAGGTCGGCGGCTTCCCGCCCAGGAAGCTCTGCTGGTTTTTAAAACATCAACATTCCGATGGTGGAAGACAGCTCTGGGGTGCGGTCTTCTTGGACAGGACCGATCCCGGGCTTCGAGCATCTTCCAGCCAAACTCTTGGGTGCCCGGCCGGGAGCCAGGGTCAGCATGCTGATCAAGGACACACGGGGCTAACCTTGGCGATTGTGGCCTGTCGGTCTAGGCCCCTGCCCTGCTCCAGTGGTGTCCCTGCAGTGGGGACGTGGCTGCCGCCCAAGCAGGACACAGAGGCACCGGAAGGAAGTGGCAGGGGCCGCTGCTTCTCCCCGGCAGGGTCATGCAAGGCAGCTGCTTGGAGGAACTGTGTTTTGTTTGGTTTTCAGAAGAAAAGAGGGGGAGGAGGGTGTGAGGTGGGGGTGGGGAGTTTTGTCGGCTTACGTTCATCGGTCTAGAGGTTTCTGAGTACTGCCCATGTCTCCTTTGAGGGAAGATCCTGGGCCACTCATGGATCCCTTAGCGTTGAACCCAAGAAGCCTGTCCCACCTTCCCCCGCACTGTCCTCGGAGGTGTCTGGGAAGAGCCGATAACCTGGGCTGCGGGTGGCAATGGGGGGTCACCCCCTGCAGCACTTCTCAAGGCAAAGGCACATTGAGGTGGCCGGCCACCCTTCGGCCACGGGGCGCCTGTGTTTCCCATGGAAAGTCCTTTATTTCGGAGGGGAATTCTTCCCATCAGGGAAGTTCTTTAGAAAATCATTGCTTCCGCTTAAAAAATTCCTCACCCATTCTGAGAGGACGCCGAGAGCAGGCAGGAGCCCTGAGAGCTGCCCGCCCCCCCATCTTCCAGAACCGGCCTGGTGTGCGTCTGGTCCCAGGCCTGGAGGCTTGTGGACAGACCCTGTCGTGCCCCTGAGGCCCCCCGCCATCTCTCACGGCCCGCTGCCATCTGTGCGGGTCACGGGTCCCCAGCAACATGGTCGCAAGCTAAGCTCCCGGAGCCACCCGGAGAGGCCCCAAAGAGGCAACAACGGGGTGCTGGCGGGGTGCCTTTCCCTTGTCCTGGGACTGCTGTCCGGGTGTAGCTGAGCTGCGGGGTGCACGAGAGGCCCGGAAGTCAGGCTAGGCCCAGCAGGAGCCACAGTGGCCCCAGTCCGGCCGGGCGGAGACGCAGCCCCCGACCGGCGTTCTCAAGCAGAAGGGAGTTTGCGGGTTGAAGCGCGGCCGTGAATGAGGAAGCAGGGGGCCCTGCTCTCGGGCGGCGGGAGCGGGTAACTCGCTCCTCCAGTTGGCCTGCAGGGGATCGTTGCCCCTTGACCTGTGCCCGGGGTGGCCTGAGAGTGGCCAGGTGTGCGATCAACCAGCGGGACAGGGAGGCAGGCCACTTGGGCATCAGCAGTCTCGGGTGAGGCCCCGGGGGTCCCCGCCAGCCTGTCCAGTGCACCCACCCACGGTGTAGAGAGGCCTGGGCTACAGGTGGGCGAGTGGGGCTGCGCGCTCTGGGGCGCCACCTCCCTCCATCCAGGTCCTGGGTGCCCGGGGCTGTGCCCGCCTCCCGAGACCAGGAGGGTCTGCTGCCCGGTCCTGGGGCCTGGAAAGCACACACATGGGTTGGGAGCAGAGCTGTGGTAGGGGAACAGCCCCGGTCCCGGGGGTGCCCTGGCCTTGGGGTGAGACCGATGGACGCCTGAATAATGGACAGGTGGTTTGCCATGGAGGCACGTGGCCTGGCGGGACGGATGGTGGCTTCACCCCCACAGCCCAGGGTTTGAGCTCTGGTTCTTCCCTGTCAGGCGTCCTGACTACTGGTTAACCAGGTAGCAGGGAGTCACTGTCCTCTAATGCAGGCTCTCGGCCAGGTGACCCCCCCCAAGGGACACTGGGCAGTGTCTGGGGACACCTGGGGTCCTCATAACTGGGGGTGCTGCTCAGTGCCCGGGATACCCCAATGTTAGCAGGGCCCAGGGTGCTCATCTAATCTGGGCCCATTTTCCCTTTTGTCTGGGTGGCCACCCCATCTCAGACAGTGACCAGGATGTGCCCAGCCGGGAGTCAGCACAGTGGCAGGAAGGGGTGGGGTGGCCAGAGCCAGCGCGGGGAGCAAGGGGAAGCCCTTGGGCTGGGTCGATGGCCCGCTCCCTCCCGCTTCAGAGCGGGGCTGGCCTTGGAGCAGCCGCCAGAGGTCGTTTCCTCGGACGGACGGACCGTCGCCTGCACCTCTGCTCCGTGAACAGCTCCGGAGCGGCTGCGTTGTGGCCACGGGGCTGCTGACCAGTTCTGTCGGGGGCCGGGCCAGGCTCCCCTTGGGCCTCTTTCCCCACCAGGGAGTCAGGGCCGTTAGAGACGGTCCATGGGCCGAGCCCCCGCTCGCCGGCCACACGTGCTTCATGTTTTCAGCTCATCGTGGCCACGCACAGCTGCCACCGCTGGTCACTTTCATGGCCGCCCGACACCCCACACGAGCCCCTTCCCGCCCGTGGAAGGGCCTGGTCTGGATGTGTCACCTGCGTGGACTCACACCCCGTGTGGCCTCCTGTGTCTGGGTCCCTCCCTGTGCATCGTGGGCTCGGGGTCTGTCCCCGGGGCCACACATGGGGACGCTTCGCTCCTGTCCATGCCCGGGGACGCTCCCTTGCGACAGACACAGCTTGATCACGTGATCACCTGTTGATGGACGTTTGGGTTGTTTCCACCCTTTTGATGATTATCCCAGATCGTGCTGCTCAGAACACATGTTTGCACGTGACGTTTCCATGTGGATGTTTGTTGTCCCTTGTCTTGGGCGTGGACCTGGGGGGTAGCTCTAACTGCCGGGCTCTTGCCGCAGCAGCGGCCATGCGTGAGGAGTCCCGTTTCTGCGTGTCCTCACTGACACCGTGATTGTCCTTTGTGGTGACGGCCGTTCTCGTGGGGAGCGGTGGTTCCCTCCCCCTCCCACTGGGGTTTCTCTCATCCCCCTGGCCCCGTCGTCCGTAGCCAGCTCTTCTGTCCCAGATGCTCCCCTCCGGTGTTCCGCACGGTTTATCCTGCCTCGAGCAGACCTTCTGGCGTCCGTGCTGCACAGCTGGGCCCACAGGAAGGTCGGGCTTTGCCGGTCAGTGCAGGGAAGGGGAGCCCCAGAGCCCCTGTGCAACCAGGGCCTGGCCAGCGTCCTCAGCAGTTACCCCAGCCAGCACCCAGGGACGCCGTGCGTGGCCTGGGGCTGCTGTAGAGAGTGACCACAGGTTTCGTGGCCTAAAGCAACATGGATCTATCATCTCACAGTTCTGAAGGTCACGAGTTCAAAATGCGCAGTCAGGGCTGGTTCCCCTGGGGACCCCAGGGAGACCCAGCTCCTGCCCTTTCCTGGCCCCCAGACCCCCTCCATCCTCCCCGCCAGCAGTGCGGGGTCTGCCCGTCACCAGGACCCCCGACCTCTGCCTCCCTCTCGTGACAACCTCGTGGGGATGCCAGGCCCCCCCGGGAACCCAGCGTCACCCCCACCTCGGGGCCATGACAGTCCCCTCTGCCACGGGAGGGGACACATCTGCAGGTCTCGGACCAGGACGGGGACGTCTCTGCGGCCTTTATTCCTCCTACCACATCCTCTCCCCTGACCAGGGCACATCAGGTGCCCCCTGAGCCCGCAGAGTGGGGTCCCGGGTTCACACCAAGGACGAAGTCACGCTGGCCGGGATGGGCAGCTGTGGGGGTGGGTTGCTCCACCTCTGCTGCCGCCTCCCATTCGGCCCCCACACCCCTCGCTAACCCCAGGAGGACCGGCTCTCCAGGCTCCACGTGAGTGCCACAGCCCCTCCGCTTCAGGTGCCTGCGGGTCGTCTCGGCTCCGGCCACCCGGCAGCCACGGGGACACAGGCGTCCCGGCCCCAGCACTGGTTTAGGCCATCAGCACATGTCGCGTGGCGTCTGGCATCCATCGCCGGCTTGGGGAGCCTGGCCTTCAGCTGCCGGGTCTGGGCGAGCAGGTGGAGGAACGCGGGCCCTGCGGGAGGATGCCAGCCCTCGGGGGTCTTCTCGGGGGCTGCGCCTGCAGGAGTCACAGGGAAGCTCTAACTGCATGTTTGCTAATAGCCAGGCGTCCCTGTCGTCAGCCCAACATTGTTGTCCTGGGACACTGTGTCCGCCCACTCGGCCCCGCAGGAGTCTGGGTCCGGGATGCCTGTGCTCCTCCCTTTGGCTCCGCTGTCTGCGGCACTGGTGACAACGAGCCAGGCACTCTGCGGGGGCTGCCCTGGGTCCTGGGGAACTGAGGGGTGTCTCCATAGAAGCAGATCTGATGAGGGAAACAGAGGCCAGAGAGTATGGGGGGGTCCTCCAGAAGCTGGGAAAGGCAGGAGCTCCCAGGAATCCCATTCCAGATGTGGGGCCTCCAGAACTTTCTGGAGTTGGGCTGTTAGGAGCCCTAGGTGTGTGGTAATTTGCTACAGCAACGTGCCGGGTCTGGAGGGACAGGCTGCTTGGCGACCAGCCAGTTCCAAGTCAGAGGAATGAACCCCACGATTTAAGCAGAGAGAAGGCGGGTGGGTGTGGACTGTAACGGGGATGGCGACTTGGGTGCGGTGTGTGTGAGGTGGGGTGGGGCCGCCTGCAGGTCCTTCCACTTCCCTGTTCTCCCTAGACTTCCCCTTCTGCGCCTTCCACCTGGTGAACTCCCGAGACCTCCACCCCGCTGGCTCCACTGGGCGCCTGGCCTTCCCCATCCCAGCCCCCGCTCTCTTAGCCTGGCCCGTGCCCCCGGGAGTGTGCGGGGTGGTGCGGGATAGGGCCGGCCCTGGGCACAGCCTGGTGACTGCTCTCCCAATATGAGTCTGCTCGCCGCCTTCACGTACTCGATCGCATCCCCTCGTGCTCTCTGAAGGGGGGTCCGCGCTGTCCACATGTAACCGAGGAGGACGCCGGTCACAGAGAAGGCTGGAGGAGGGACCAGGGGAGGGGGGCTCTCACGGCAGGGCCTCATCCCTGGGGAACCAGCGGGCATGCGTCACGGTCCCATGTTGGACAGGCCAGACCCAGACAGGCTCGTCCAGGCCTCTGAGATGGGCGCTGCGGTGGAGAGTGTCCCCCCAGAATTCACGTCCGCCATCAGGAATGGGGTCTTTGCACACGTCCTCAGAAAGGAGGACAAAATGCGAAAGGAGGGCATCCAGTGCAGCGAGGGGCTGGAGGCAGTGCAGAAACAGAAATCATGCTTTCCAGCTCTGGAGGCCGGCGCCGGAGCGGCATTTCCAGAGCCAGCTGACGGTCCCCCCACACCGTGTTGCAGGTCTCAGGAAGGCCCGGGGTGCGGCGGATCTCCCGTCCCCTCGGCGGCCGCCCAACACCAGTGTCCCACCTGGGCCCGTCTGCGGAGGCGTCGCCGGGGAGCGTGCCGACCGGGCAGGGGGCCGACATGTCCAACCCCTTCCTGAAGCAAGTGTTCAACAAGGACAAGACCTTCCGTCCCAAGCGCAAGTTCGAGCCGGGCACCCAGCGCTTTGAGCTGCACAAGAAGGCACAAGCGTCGCTGAACGCGGGGCTGGACCTGAAGCTGGCCGTGCAGCTGCCCCCCGGCGAGGAGCTCAGTGACTGGGTCGCTGTGCACGTGGTGGACTTCTTCAACCGCATCAACCTCATCTACGGCACCATCGGCGAGGGGTGCACGGAGCAGTCATGCCCGGTCATGTCCGGCGGCCCCAAGTACGAGTACCGCTGGCAGGACGAGCACCAGTTCCGCAAGCCCACGGCTCTGTCGGCCCCCCGCTACATGGACCTGCTCATGGACTGGGTCGAGGTGCAGATCAACGACGAGGGGCTCTTCCCCACCCACGTCGGTGAGCCGCGGGGCACGGGGGCGGGCCAGGCCCAGTGCTTTCCTCCGTCCGGGGGAATCTGCGTTCACACGTCTGCCCGTTTAAAGTGTGCAGTTCAGTGCTGTTTAGTGCTAGAACATTCCACCACTGCGAGAGCAGCCTGGTCCCTATCAGCTGTCATCCCCACCCCTGCCCCGGCCCTGGCTCCCACCCCCTCCTCACTGTCTGCGTGGATGGGACTCCTCTGGGGCCCTTCTGGGAGTGGGGTCCTGCAGGACGGATCCTTCTGGGTCTGGCCGCTCTCACTGAGCCCCGTGTCCTCAGGTCCATTTACTCAGTTGTCAGTATGTTTGCCGAGTTGTGCAACCGTCACTACTACCTAATTCCAGAACCCTCCCATCACCTGCAAGGAATCCCTTTCCCCAGAGCGGTCACTCCCCATCCGTCCCAGCGCGGGGTCAGGCTGGACCTGTCACACACACTCCCGGAGAGCTTTTTCTTTCCTGCTCGCCCTCAGCTCCGTGCCAGTCTCCCCACTGGAGAGCAGCTGTGTGGGCTCCGCTGTGTGGGGGCCTGGCCTGGGCACCCCATGAGCTCGCTGCCATCTCTGTGTGCACCCCCCACCCACTGTTAGCCAGCAGGGTCCCCGTGGCGAGGATGGGGGCCCGTGTGTTCTCTCCGGTCTGGGCTCCCACCCGCTGGTGCCACTGCAGCTGTCTGTGCTGTGGGACGAAGACCCCGGAATGGGTGGGGGGCAGAAGGAGCACGTGGGGGCGCCCAGCACACAGACTGGGACCCCCAGGAGGGGCACGTCAGCACCATGGAGAAAAGGGAAGTGGAGAAGCACTGAACTCCGTCGTCCGAGTTAGGGCCTGGGGCACGCAGCAGGCAGGTTGTGTCCGTGTGTAGACAGAGCGGAGGTGGAGAGTGAACCCTCAGGGACGGCTGTCAGCGTCCAGCAGCATGTGGACGGGCTCCCGTTTGATTCAGTAAAACCGGCCGAGCCGAAACGCGCGCCTAGGCCTGGGCGAGGAGGGCTCGAAGACGGAGGGCTCCGGCCGTCGCAAGGGGAGGCTGGGGGAGGGTGGCCCCAGGCGGCGCGGCGCGGCGGGGGCGCGGCGGGGCTCCCCGGCAGCCCGGCTGACCCCCAGCCCCGCACGCAGGCACGCCGTTCCCCAAGAACTTCCTGCAGGTGGTGAAGAAGATCCTGTCGCGGCTGTTCCGCGTGTTCGTGCACGTCTACATCCACCACTTCGACCGCATCGCGCAGCTGGGCTCCGAGGCGCACGTCAACACGTGCTACAAGCACTTCTACTACTTCGTGCGGGAGTTCGGCCTCATCGACACCAAGGAGCTGGAGCCGCTGGTGAGCGCGGGGCGGGGCCGCAGCTGGAGGGGCGGGGCCGCAGCTGGAGGGGCGGGGCCGCAACTGGAGGGGCGGGGCTGCAGCTGGAGGGGCGGGGCGTTCGGGCGGGGCTTCCGTCCCAGGGCCCACGGGCAGCCCCAGGGCAGCCAGCGCAAACCGCCCAGGTTGGTTCACGGGGTTTGGGCCCAAGCTGGTGGGTGCGGCCACAGATGGGGGCCGCTTGGATCCCCGACGCCAGGGACCCAGCCGCTGGGATGTGGTTTGGGGTTTTCTTTGGTCCCTGCCCCGCTGGCGGGCAAGCTGGGATGCGGCTGCCCAGGTGCACCCGGTCCCCCCAAGAGGCCCTGAATCCTGGGGGTCCCCCACCCCCCGGGGAGGTCACTCCTATCGCACAGCCCAGAGCCATCGTGGGGGCGGGGGTGCCTGGAGGAGGCCGGTCCGTCCGGCGGCTGCCCCCCTTTCCCTGTGGGAGACGCAGGGGGTCTTCAGAGCGCGGGCAGCAGCGGTCTGGGGGGCTGCTTCGAGGGCCCTCGGTGTCCCCTGGCCGGAGAGCAGGTAGTGACTGATTCCTCATTGAGGTAGACTTCACACACGTGGAAGCTGTCCACCACGTGTGACACACTCCCAAGGTGCTCTGACGTCACCCGCCGGTATCCAGAGCATTCCGTCCCCCCAAGAAGCCCCAGCCCCCCTGGCCAGCACTCCCCAGCCCACAGCTCCCTTGAACCGCCCTCTGGCTGGGGCTTTGCTCACCCAAACCCTGTGGGTCCCAGCCTGGGGATGGGCCCCTCGCCCACTGCTCTCCCACATTGCGGTGGGCTTTTAGCAAGAACTGGGAGGCCAGAGCATGGCAGGACTGCTCTCCAGGTCCCCACCAGCCACCACCACCCCTGCTCACAAGGGTTCCCGGTGAGGCCGGTGGTCAGAGCCCCCAAGGGCCATTCCGGGGGGTGGGGGGATCCCCCCAAGCGCATAAAAGCTAGAATGTTCCAGGGGCTAGCGGGCCCTGGGCTTGCAGGGCAGTGGCTGCGGGACTGAGATCATACTCTAGGGTCCCACGGCTTCCCTTGCATGGCCCCAGGACTCCCATGTGGGCATTTTGTTTTTTCCTCTTCTTTTTTAGTGATTTCTGCATGGATTCAGGTCTTTGAACTGGGTTGGTTTGTTTGTTTTTAAGATTTTATTTATTTATTTGACAGAGAGAGATCACAAGCAGGCAGAGAGGCAGGCAGGGAGAGAGGGGGGAAGCAGGCTCCCCGCTGAGCAGAGAGCCAGATGCGGGGCTCGATCCCAGGACCCTGAGACCATGACCTGAGCCGAAGGCAGAGGCTTTAACACACTGAGCCACCCAGGTGCCCCTCTTTGAACTGAACTGTTTTTGTTCAGCTTTCAACGACTGTTAAACTCCTCCTCACATGACCGTTCCCAGTGCCTCTGTGTCCTTGCGGGCTCTGCCTAACAGGGGGAGGGTTTACTCCGAGCTGACGGAAAGTTCTGGAACTGGATAGAGGAAGGGTCCACGCCATTGTGGATGTGAATGCTGCTGACCTGTTCACCTCACGATGGGTGCCCTTACGTGACAGTCACCTCCACCCATGTCGTGTTTTCAGAGTGCTGACAGCTGGAACCTGCAGTGCCGTCACGTCTGGTGGTGGTTTTTCTCAACTTTGCGTCTTGATCCCCTCATCATCTCTCCCATATCAATGCCGAGAGTTTTCTGTTTTTTAAGATTTTATTTATTTGACAGAGAGTGTGCACACACGTGCACTGGCGGGTGGGGGGGGTGGTCAGGGAAGAGGGAGAAGCAGACCCCCCACTGAGCCCAGTGCGGGACCTGATCCCAGGACCCCAAGATTGGGACCTGAGCTGAAGCCAGACGCTTCACCGGCCACTCAGGCCCCTGTGCTTAGAGTTCTCCAGCGCCGGGCAGAGGGTAATGTGCGTAAGCTCGGACTTCCCAGGCTGTGTGGGAAGGAAGCAGGTGGTGATCTGCCCGGCTGCCCTATGCACCGAGGCTCCCGGGGCCTGTCGTAGAACGTGGCGGAACGCCTTCATACCTAGTCTTTTTGCATTTAGCCTTCATCTGTTGGGACGACCCTCACCGGGTCTAAAGACTGTATCATAGTACTTGTCTTTATTTCCCGGCTGTTTTCCAGAAGTTTCTTTGCAGCGTCCAGTCCCCTATAGAAGGCACAGATCAGTACACTGTGGCCCCGGGACGACTGCCTGGTTTTGGGAATAGAGTTTTATTGGCACACAGGGAGCTAGTCGTTTCCGTGTTGAGGGGGCTGCGGTCCCCCACAGGGAACAGGACATGGCCTCTTGGCCCTTCACGAAGAGCGCGCCACCCCGGCTGACAGCGTGCTGTGATCTGTTGCGTTGACCGTAAGGTTTGCCGTTAAGTGAGGCCCGTGGCCCCCTGGAGACCGGCTCCCCTGCTTCTCCATTTGTGCGTGGTTTCCGCCCCCCTCGTGTCAGTCCCTAACGTCCCGCTTGTTCTTCACAGAAAGAAATGACCGCGCGGATGTGCCACTGAGCCCCTGGGCCCTGCAGTCACTGAGGCAGTGCCAGGGGACCCTCGCTTTTACGGCCACGTCTCCAGACCATGGACTTGAGCTTTGTAGAAAGTGCACCCAGTGAGCGAGCTCGGTCCCGGGGCGGCTGCACTGACCGTGGGGGTGGGGTCCTCCGCCATCTCGGTGGGCAGCCGCCATGGGTCTCCACGTGGCAACCCTGAGCCCATCTCCTTGGCAGGCATTGAACTTGAACTCCGTGGCTCTGCGTGTCGAGCACCGGCGAAAACCCACTGGTGAACCCCTAGCACTTGCCCTCGTGGCCCTGTGTCCGCTTTGCGACTCGCACAACGGGAACCCCACCCCTGCTCCCCAGCCGGACCCCTTCATGGATCGTGAATGATGAGATTTTTCTCCCTGTTAGAGAGACGGCCCCTCTCTCTTACGAATAACGTGGGATGGATCTTCCGTGTCCCGGGCTGGAACCTGTTGAATTTCGCCAAACGTGTAGCTGGGGTGAGCCCTTCTGCAGCGCGTGCCGGCTCTGTGTGGAAACCCTGCGTTTGCGTGGCCCCGCGCAGCCCTGGGACCCGAATCCCTGCTCTGGCTGCTGTGGACATTGGGGGCCCTGTCTGGGCCACGCCGAAGGGACCGCAGGAGCGCCATCCTGTCTGTGCCTCCAACACCCGACCCCGTGCGGCAGCCTCAGTGGCCTTTTCCGTGGCAGCCCTCCCAGCGTGGGCCGCACCGACTCCGAGTACCTCTGGGCGTTGGGGGCGCTCGCAGGAGCAAGGCCGTCCCCCAGCGTCAGCAAGTGCAATTAACGCAGCCTTGGCCCGGGGTCTGGCTCCAGGAGGCCCTTGCCCTGGAATGGAGCTCCCTCTGGACGCTGGACCTTGGCCCACACCGAAACCACTGTGTCCCCCAGGGCTGCGGGCTGTCCCCGCACCAGCCACAGTACACTGTGCCACCTTCATACCTCAGCTGCTGCTTGTCATTTCCGCGTCCCTGGCCTGAGGGCCTGGTGTTGGGCCCTGCCACCGCGTTTGTCCCCAGGGTGCCCTTGTCCCCACGGGCTGAGGGCTCGCACCCGCCGAAGTGCCCCCTGGGGTGCCGGCACCCCCGCTGCAGAGTGGGGAGGTCAGGACTGAGACCCTGGGGTGGGCATCTGCTCCCTCGCCCATTTCCATCGCCCTTAAACACGGTTTTAGCTCTGCCTTTCCGCTGCACGCGAGAGGGAGCTGGGCCTCCGTGAGCCTTGCGCCAAAGAGATCAGGAGAGTAAAGCCGGGGAGCCCTTTCTTCGATGTGGGAAACAGGGTCCGATCGTGCCCTCGTGGGGGTCCGGCCTGGGGCCTCTGGCAAAATGGGCACCGATGGGGCCGGAGCCCTGGGGCTGGGCTGGCTATTCACCCCCAGAGGGCGCCCTGTCGCCACAATCACGTTATTTGGAAAGACCTCAAGACACGGCTTGCCTGCCGAGTGTGCAAAACACCACAGCAATTTCCAGAACCCGCTAAGAATTTGGGAGCTTTATTTGTAATGTCCCCCAAACATGTCCCCTCCTGGGCCCCCCGGGAGCTGGGACGTGTCCCCTCCTGCAGCAGAGGGGAAGTTGTCAGGGCCCCGAGGCGGGGGTGACCCTAGGTGCCTGGGGAGCCCGGCGTCCTCACCAGGTCCTCAGGAGAGGGAGGCAGAGGGCGGGGGTCCCAGAGACCGGCAGACCCCGCGCTGCTAGCGGGGAGAATGGAGTGGGGTCGTGGGCAGGAAAGGGCAGGAGCCGGGTCTCCTTGGGCCCGGGAGGGACCAACCCTGCCCGTGCCTGGGTTTTAGGACTTCTGAGCCCAGAACTCTCTGAGAATTAGTCCATGTGGTTTTAAGACCTAAGTTGGTAGTGACCTGTCACCCGCGGCCTCGGCAGGCTCAGACCCCCGTTAGAAGGAAATGTTTTACCCATAGAATGGCCAGTACCCCTTGCCCTGGGCTACTGGGAATGCCAGAATCAGAGGCCGGCTCCCAGGGGACTCCTCCCTCCGTGCCCAGAGAGCCACCCCAGAACTTGTCCCACCCAGAGAGGTGATGGGGGACAAGTGTTGGTGTCTGGAAATCTGGCCGGACTGGGAGGGGGCAGGAGAGGGAAGTGGCAGCGTTGCTGGCACAAGACGGCTGGCTGAGCGGCCTCCCAGCCAACACACAGGGGACTGTCGTCTCAGCGCCATGAATTTCTGTCCTGCCGGTGGACGGGACCCAGCAGGCTGCCTCTGGTGCCTGGGCCACCCCTGCCCCTTTGTAACTCAGCAGCTGCTTGCTGGGGCGGGCTGAGATCTGGAGCCCCCGCCCTGAAAATTTCCACCGTGGGGCGGCATTATCTCCAGACCCACGCATGGCAGCCACGAGCCGCTGAGGCCAGTGAGAACCGCTCAGCTGCTCAGTCACGTGGGCCCTGGTCAGCGGCGTCCCTAGACCTTGTCGCAGCTCCTGATCGGAAGCAAGGTCAAGGTGGGGATGGTTCGGATCCTCCCCGGTTCATAAAAACGAATGGCTAAGTCTTGGAACGTGGTGCTGGTTCCCGTCTTAACCGCCGGGTGGAGAGGGAACCTGGGGACACACGGCGGGGTGGGGAGGGGCCCGCAGACAAGCCCCCACACGCGTGTCTCCCCACAGGCCTGTCCCATATGGGAGCCCAGCGGGGGACACAGTACTGGCTGTTGGCAGTAATGATTAGGACAGTCACTCCTCCTCTAGTCAAATCTTTGCCAATACCCCCAGTTCTGGATGTAGGTGAACGCCAGCGTCAGTGTCCATGTCAGAGGGCATCCGGCATGAGCCGTTCTGGTGAGCTGCGGCGCACCCTGCAGAAGGGGGCACCGCGTCACGCTTCCGTCCACACGGTGTGTGGATCCGGCTCCTTGCACCCCTCCCAGCGCTGATGGTAGGCCACGTGTGCCTTACGGTCGGACGGGAAAACCTCTTCATTGCGCGTCGCATTTATGTTGCCGGTTTACATCCTTTGTCCGTTTTTCCACTGGGAAGTGGTCCTTGTCTTACTGACTTCTAAAGAACTTTTTACATACTTTTAATATAGTCATTTACAAAAAAAACTTTATATATAATTTATCATATGTTACACAATTTTTCCTGGGCTCTAGTATATCTTTTTTTTTTTGTAAAGATTTTATTTATTTATTGGACAGAGAGAGAGATCACAAGTAGGCAGAGAGGCAGGCAGAGAGAGAGGGAGAAGCAGGCTCCCCGCTGAGCAGAGCCCGATGCGGGGCTCGATCCCAGGACCCTGGGACCATGACCTGAGCCGAAGGCAGAGGCTTAACCCACGGAGCCCCCCAGGCGCCCCAACCCATTTATCTGACACAGAAAGAGAAACAGAGCATGAGCAGGGGAGAGGCCGAAGGAAAGGAAGAGAGAATCTCGAGCACACTGAGCTCTCGGCCCAGCGTGGGGCTTGACCCACGACCCTGAGGTCATGACCCCAGCCGAAACCAAGAGTCGGACACTCCACCAAATGGACCGCCCCAGGTGCCCCAGAAATGTTTATTTTTTAAATAACAAGGAAGCCCTTGACCCAGCACAGTGTGACCCTTCCCCGCAGCTCACAAATGCTGCTGCTTCTGCATTTCCTAGCGATTCGCGATTCGCTCCTCGCGCTCTGGCTCCCCCGCCTCCTGGTTTGACATATAAACTAGAGGAATTACAGCATCTGGCAGTACCGGTTCCTCATGACGCTGGCTTTTTAGTATTTTCTAGATCATTCTACACACATAGTCCAGATGAACTCCAGAATTACATAAAGTTCCCAAAAAACTGCTTCTGTGATTTTGGTAAAAATAGTAAATTTGCCTAACAGTGTGGGTATCCAGGTTCCTTCTGGAAAGTCAGTCAGTCCCTGTGGCCCTCACACCTCTCCATTTACCCCAGCCACAATGTCCCTGCGTCTCATTCCCAGCACGTGGCAGCTCTGCCCACTGCATTTCCCTTTCCTTTGTCTTCCTGTGATTTTTTAAATGGATATAGGTGGGGCGGCCGGCGGCTCAGTCGTTGGGCGGCTGTCTCAGGCTCTGGTCATGGCCCTGGGGTCCTAGGATCGAGCCCCACATCGGGCGTGCTCTGCTCGGCAGGAAGCCTGCTTCTCCCTCTCCCACTCCCCCTGCTTGTGTTCCCTCTCTCGCTATGTTTCTCTATCAAATAAATGAAATCTTTAAAAAATAAATTAAATGGATATATGTGACATGCTGTAAAAATTGCCATCACCATCAAATTCGAGAACATTCCATCACCCTTAAAAAAACCCATCCCCGTTAGCTGTGATTCCCCATCCCACCCCCAGCCCCTGGCAGCCACAAATCCACTTTTTGTCTTTTTTTTTTTTTAAGATTTTATTTATATATTTGACAGAGGGAGAGAGATCACAAGTAGGCAGAGAGGTAGGCACAGAGAGAGGAAAGGAAGCAGGCTCCCCACTGAGCAGAGCCGGATGCGGGACTCAATCCCAGGACCCTAGATCATGACCTGAGCCGAAGGCAGAGGCTTAACCCACTGAGCCACCCAGGCACCCCTGTATTCATTGTTTTTAAGAAATCTTTTAAGGGGCTCCTGGGTGGCTCTGTTGGTTAAACATTGGCCTTTGGCTCAGGTCATGATCCCGGGGTCCTGGGATCGAGTCCCACATCAGGCTCCCTGCTCAACCGGGGTTCTGCTTCCCCCTCTGACCCTCTCCCCTCTCATGCTTGTGCTCACTCACACTCTCCCTCTTTCTCTCTCTGAAATAAATACATAAAATCTTTTCAAAAAAGGAATTTTTTAAAGATTTATTTTTATGTCATTTCCATACTCAGCATGGAACTTGAACTTGCAACCCCAAAATTAAGAGTTACACACTCCACCAACTGAACCAGTCAGGTTCAGTTTTTTTTTTTTTTTAAGTCTTTTTTAGGGCGCCTGGGTGGCTCAGTGGGTTGAAGCCTCTGCCTTCGGCTCAGGTCATGATCCCAGGGTCATGGGATCGAGCCCCGCATCGGGCTCTCTGCTCTTCGGGGAGCCTGCTTTCTCCTCTCTCTCTCTCTGCCTGCCTCTCTGCCTACTTGTGATCTCCGTCTGTCAAATTAAAAAAATAAATAAATAAATAAAAAAGTCTTTTTTAAAAAGATTTTAACTTATTTATTTCAGAGAGAGAGAGAGAGCACAAACGGGCAGGGAAAGAGGGAGAGGGAGACGCAGGCTCCCTGCAGAGCAGGGAGCCCAACTCGGGGCTCGATCCCATGACCTGAGCTGAAGGCAGAGGCTCTACCCACTGAGCCACCCAGGCGCCCCCATATTCATTTTTTAAGGGCAGAATCTATAGATACCATGTCATAGCTGATCATACTGGCAAAATTAAGTTCGATACGGTTCTATATACACACGCGCATACATTTATATATGTGTACGCGCACACGGTGAATCACTAGTGAAACGTAATCCTTTCAGATCAACACAGGGAAAACAGCATCTCGACAAAAGATCGAAAATTCAGAAAACAGCAAGGATGAATGTTTTATGAAACATTTAGAGAGTGCGCATGCGCACGTGCAAGCGAGGGGAGGGGCAGAAGGAGCGGGAGAAGCTCAGGCAGACTCCCCCCCCTCCCGGCGCTGGAGCCAGACACAGGCCTCGAACCCACCACCCAGATCACGACCTGAGCCGAAATCCAGAGTCGGACGCTCAGCTGACGGAGCCGCCCAGGTGCCGGGAGGGTGAGTATTTTTTTTTTTTTTATAATTTTATTTATTTAGGGGTGCCTGGGAGGCTCAGCGCATTGAAGCCTCTGCCTTCGGCTCAGGTCATGATCCCCGCATCGGGCTCTCTGCTCGGCGGGGAGCCTGCTTCCTCCTCTCTCTCTCTACCTGCCTCTCCGCCTACTTGTCTGTCAAATAAATAAATTAAAAAATATATATATTTTAAAAATAAATAAATAAAATAAAAAATAAAAC